TAAAGTGTTACACAATAATTATGTTATTTTAACAAAAATACCAGCAAAGATACAACACATTCTCATCCTAGGGCGTCATATAGTGACGCTTTTGACAACGCGTCTAAATCCGACGCACATGGCACCCTTTAGCGTCAATATAACACACTTTGGTTATGGGTAGGTTTAGGTCTGGGGTAGGGTTAGGGTTAGACCACTAGGAGGCGCCTTCTGGCCCATATGTGCGTTGGATGTATACGCATTGTCAAAAGTGTTAGTATATGACGCCTTGGGATATACTATATCCACACTATCAATAATAAAATATATGTTTTATTTATGTATATTTATTGAAAACCAAGAATGAACTTATATTTACCTCTGCAAGTCATGAATACTAAAATCTTGTTTTTATATTTATTAAAAGGGGACCAAATAAACTTTTTTTATGTCTACACTATCACTAATCATTAATATTAAAATATGATTACGTATAGTTTAGAGTATACGCCACAATGCTGATAGTTGGTTACTAGGACTCAAATCACAGGATCCACCCCAATTATTAGTGCCATTCTGCCATGCTATATGGCTTCTTCAATGGAAGTCTATGGAATTAATTCCACTGTTTTGTCTGATCCTGTTTGCAACACATCCCTGGTCTTCCTTGGTCTTCCATGTTATAATGCGGTATAAATGATATAGCAGAATCTCTACTGGCTGACACATTTCTACAGTATAGTTTTTTTTAAAGCATACACCGTAATGTCCTTCCGCCAAAACACTGTATTTCAAATAGCCACAGTGTGTCAGTAAAACGCTCTCTATTTTTATCATCAACACCGATATGCAAGGCCTTTGACGTCACTAATGGCACCGAGTGCTCATGGATGGCTCCTATACTAATTCACGCCGAAGGACAACAAGCACATGTTGAGTGCTCCATATTTACAGCCACCGTAATTGTCACTTTTAGGTCTAATGTAGGCACTAACTTTATGTAGGAAACTGGAACAAAACCTCCTAAACTGTCCCCATGGCAACAAGAGCAAAAGTACCCTTGATTCACAGCAGATGTAGCAGAAAAGATCTATTGAACCCAACCAGCCCACAAACATGCCCTGTTTGCCAATGCATACAGGAATAAATCACCATAACTGGATGGTGCAAGTGGAACCTCCCACAAAGCGTTCTGTCACAGGAAGCGCAGCCTGGCTATCTTCACATTGGCATGACGACTCCAGACTCACGAATGGACTGAAACGCTTGCGCGAGGTTATGACACTTGCAGGACATTCCCACGCAGAGCGTTTTGTTGAGTCAGGGTGACGACCTGACATTTTAACAGCGGCTTTGAAATGTTAAAATATTTGATGGAACTGGGTTGAAAGGCAACGATTCGGGTTGTTTTAGTGCAGCTGAATGTGACGTGTGAAGAGCACTTGTGTTTGCAATAATGTTGATGCGAGAGAGAGAGAGAGAGAGAGAGAGAGAGAGAGAGAGAGAATTTGTCCATTTACACAACACCATTTTTAACCAGTTTTTGCAAAAAAAAAATAATAATAATACCAGCAAATATACAACGCATTCTCATCCTAGGGCGTCATATAGTGACGCTTTTGACAATGCGTCTAAATCCAACGCACATGGCACCCTTTAGCGTCAATATAACACGCTTCGGTTATGGGTAGGTTTAGGTCTGGGGTAGGGTTAGGGTTAGACCACTAGGAGGCGCCATATATATCTGCGTCTCATATTGACGCTAAAGGGTACCATGTGTGTTAGATGTCTACGCATTGGCAAAAGCGTCAGTATATGACGCCTTGGGATGAGAACGGGCTGGCAATCCACACATGATCGTAATAGCTATTAGATTGAGTACAGACATCCTAATGTGACTAGCAGACCTTTAAAATGTTTCCTTTACTGTGCAAGTGTCTCTTCACAAAAATAGAAATGCAATTCAACTACTACACCAAACCAATCTGACTCAGAAACGCTTGTCTTGCGTCACAGGCAGCGCTCTTCATAATGTGATCCACAGAAGTGGGTTGAGGATCAATACTTTAAGATGTGCTATTATTTGTCATTGTCCTGTGTGGGAGACTGAAAATAGTTCAGTAACCACCCCCAGATCAGCCACACGCATTTCTATAAACTCATCAGTGTTAAAAATCGAATATGTATAGCTTTGTTTTAATTCAGATATCTGACCATGATGTTCTTGGCACTTCTAACAATGGTTCTGCTTAAGTTAGACACACATTCAATCCTGCTCATGATGGATGGTTGATTAGTCAACACATTAACATAACTGTGAAAGATTTGGTATTTTTGGTAGCTACACTTTTATTGCACTAATATTACATGCATAGCAGTGTTTCAGAAATATACTTTTGAGATTTTAAGTGCACATTCAATTGAAGTTGCCAGTCCACCAGCATTTTTAATAAATTTCACAAAATTGTCATGGCCCCCAGAATATTTTGTTGCATGAATATCTGAACATGCAATATATCAAAAGAAAGAACAGGGCCTTGGCTTGTAAACAGGCCTGCTTTATTCTAGCTTTAATAAAGTTTACTAAAACTTAATAGTTTAATACACAAAAAAAAAAAAACATGTTAAGGAAAAAGCTGAGAAAATCACATTTTAGTGAAAGACTACATCTAGATCAGATTCAGAATGATGGTCAACACATTGATGAAGTAGATTGAGTCCTTTGAGTAATTTATTTGCTGTTTAATGTTAATGATTGAGCTATTTTACATATGTGACCGCTTCTTTCTGCATCTTTTTCACATGTGTTTTGGAGATTTTGAATGTTTTTAGTGTCTTTTAGTGGATGTGTCATAGCACTGTTACCATATAACAGTGAAAACACGGAAAGCCATCATTTGTGTGGAAGCTTTGTCTCCTAAATGCCGGAAATTTAAATCAATGACGGGTAAAGAGTTAAAGGAATAGTCCACAAAAAAAACAAACAAACAAAACAAAAAAAAAAACCTTTACTGATAATTTACTCACCCCCATGTCATCCAAGATGTCCATGTCTTTCTTTCTTCAGTTGAAAAGAAATTAAGGTTTTTGATGAAAGCATTCCAGGATTTTTTAATGCACTTTTTTTCAAAGTTTAAGTTTTATAAGCTCAAATGGTCGCCTTGCTCTGTTCTGTGATGCACCTTCGTGACTCTCCTGTTCGAACTCGTTCATCAAAATGAACAAATCTTTTTATGAGTCAATTTGTTCATTTCATTCGTTGAATGAACCAAATGACACAAAAAAAGATTTGTTCATTTTGATGAACGAGTTCGAACAGGAGAGTCACGAAGGCGCATCACAGAACAGAGCAAGACGACCATTTGAGCTTATTAAACTTAAACTTTGTTTTTTTTTTTTTGTTTGTTTGTTTGTTTTTTTAAATGAGTGATCATTTCGCTTGATAAGACCCTTATTCATCGTCTGGAATCGTTTAAAGCCCTTTGAAGCTGCACTGAAACTGTCGTTTGGACCTTAAACCGTTTGGTTCCCATTGAAGTCCATTATATGGAGAACAATCCTGGAATGTTTTCATCAAAAACCTTAATTTCTTTTCCTAAATTGAACAAACCCCCAAAACTAACACCGGAACCAACTAATAATCAGTCTACCTATTCCTGACTACCTATCACTAAAGTTTACACAGCAGAGGTGAATGTTGTGACAGTTCTTCAATATCAAATGATCCATAATTTAAAGTACAGTATAATTATCAATAATGTAATGCTCTCAGGTTGGGTGTGTGACTAAATCCACCTGTGTAATTTGGTATTCTGCCACAAAGAACAGTTACAATAACCAAAGAACAGAGCGTCTCGTCTGACATTTCAGTACTGTATAAATTGCATAAAACCTCTATTTCCACAATAACGTTTAAAGAAAAACGGAGCTCTTAATAACACCCTCGCAACCCAGGAAAACCTTTAAGCCATCCCACCAAAGTACAGGTTTTGTCTTTTAAACAGCTCTGTTTTATCCCTAGCTTTGGTTGAGGTACACTGAATGCAGAGGGAATTAAAATGGCTTATCTTATCAAATAAAACATCTCGATTGCATCGGAGAAGCTCAGTTTGTAGGTTAGTTGCTTGAAAACATGTGCCACGTGACTGTACCTCATTAAAGCACATGGCTATTAAAAACGTGTTCAGCTTTAGTTAGCTTGTGCTGTTCAATGAGATCTTTGCTAGTCTGACATGACTTGATCTAAGCATCGCTTTCTCTTTATCTCCTCATAATAGAATTATTCAAAACAGGCTGTCAGAGGCAATCAAATTCCCTGCCAGAAGTGTGACCAGTCAAAATATCACTTTTTTTTTTCTCTACATGTGGTTAATCTGACAGCACCTTCTGTGGTAACCCAATTAAAAAGCCTCCTTAGAGAGAGAGTGAGTGTGTGTGTGTGTGTGTGTACACAACAGATTAAAGCAACGGATATAATACTCCTCTATTTAAGAGTCTTGCAATAAGAGCAGCATCCATTGCTTCAGCTAAAGACGGCGGCATCAAAAAAAAAAAAAATGCGGCAATTTAGGTTATGAGACTCTTCAGCTCAATGAGATACAAATTACAATTTCTGTCATACATAGTTTCAAGTATGGAAAACATCTCAATAAAGCAATAAGCTATGGGAGGCATTCTGCAACGATTTTACTATGATTAAGGACTATTTGACATGGAGAAAATGCAATATGATAAGAATGCAAGAAGATAATATTCATAATAAACTGGGTAAATAAAGCACCACGTATTATTAGTCTAAATACAGGCTGTTTATGATTGCCAAGCAACACAATAATAAAAATTCATTTGGCCAACAGATTGCCGCTTTGAATGTGACGAGATAAAATCTGGTTTGCAAAATAAAAAAAAAAAAAAAAATCACAATATTACTGTGTTTTTACCAATGCTATCTCACGACCAATTCGGTTTCACACACAGGTTTCGTCTATGGCTCACGCTATATTCGTTTGGATTGTTACCTACCTGAAGTGTATTGACCGCCTTGATCTTCTTCTCGTTCCAGTTTCCAGTTCTTCGTCATCTTCCAGTCTCCTCCTACAAGAGAAAAGGAAAGTTGTTTAGTGACTGTTCAACGTGTGTGTGTGTGTGTGTGGCTACTCATCACCATCATCACTTCTTTTAATTTCACTCAGATTTCTGTTTCCTCCTTAATGAAAATGATGTGTTTTGGATTTTAAATACTTACCGGTCAGTCAAAGTGTGTGTTTCCTGACAACTTCAAACCTTTAAGGTTGCATATGAAGAGTTCAGATGCAAAAGCCTCTAAATGCCATTTGAAATTTTCTTCTTTAATGATGATTTTTTATCAAACTTGTATATTTAAGTTCAGTAATTTCACTTAAATAACAATTAATAGGTAATTATCATTGCCATTTAAGTGAAATCATTGAACTTAAATATACAAGCTTGATAAAAATGATCATTCTAGAAGAAAATTTTAAATGACACTTAGAGGCTTTTGCATCTGAACTCTTCATATATTATTAGCTATGTTTGTGTAGTAGTTACTATTGTCAAACAACTACCAAACATTTTAATTTGTGTAAGCAGTCATGCTTACAGTACAGTTAAAGAACCAGGGGCATATCTAGAACATGAAGACTCGTAGCTGCGCGATTTTGACTTGGTTCAGTAAAAAAAACACCTACTGTAGCAACCATCCAGATGCCCTTAGCAACACTCTCGCAAACACCCACGGCACTGCAGCATCTTTACAATTCCCCTTTTACCATCCCTCTCTCGGCTTGACCTATCATCATGGAAGTCATATTGTGCATTCTAAATTGGTTCCTGCAATTGTGTGTAAATTACATAGGGTTGAATAGGGTTGAAATGGTAGCAAACTACAAAAAAAAAAAAAAAAAAAAAAAAAAAACCTAACTTGGCAACTTGTCCATATACTGTATTGCATGTCGTCTTTTGCTCTAATAATGTCTCTGATTGCAGTCTTTCAGAGGTTTTTCAGCCTGGGACATTATCTGACTTGAATATGTCATGTAGAAGGTAATGGCTCAATCAATCTTACTCTTCAGCTTAAGTGCACTACCCATCATGGGTCCACCCAGCATGAGGCTGGTTCTAACAGAGATGACACCCACCTAGTGACTAGATTAAAAACAGCCCACATCTAGCTCTGGAACCCCTGTTGAGATTTGTTGGACCCATATTAGACACGGAGAGCTTCCCTTCTCACATTACTGTTGAAGTCAGCCATGCGTTTCAAGTACTCATCATAAGGTCGTCAATGATTACAATGAGAATGACGGGGATTTTTTCGCTAATTACTCGCATATCTTGGCAAAGGAGCTATTCTACCACGAGGAAACGGGCCGTGTTTATTAAAGGAGGTGTAGATGATTAAATGAGCCCTCGTTTTGGTTATTGTAACAAGTTCTTGAAGTCAGCATGACAGGGTTTCACAACTCAATGTAATTCAGGGTTACCGCATAAAGAGTGTGAGGTGATGGGATGTTTAACAAGAACAAAATAAATGAAAGTGTTAGGATGTGATTTTATCTGTCAGGAATTTATTGGATGTTGAAAAGCACTTTCTACGCTAATGACAAGGTGCGAGTGAAGTGACCATTTATGCACAATAAGACCACGATTGTGTAAAAGTGATCCATTTTGATTTCATGTTGGTTTGTTTGGTTATAAATTGATATTGTTATTATTTACTCACCATCATGTAACTCCATATGAACTTCCTTACACAAGATTATAATGAAATTGATTAATTCCATTAAATGAAAGACGTTTGCCATATGTGAAAATATTACGAGAGTAAATTACACACACACACACATGCTAAATTTTTGCTCAAATTATTATTTTAATTTATGCTTGAGATGGCTGCATTTATTTAATCAAAAATGCATTAAAAGTAGCAATATTGTGAATTATGATTTTTTTTTTTCGATTTTGACACGTTTTATTTCTGTGATTGGAAATTCAAAAGAATATTCTGTGACAAAATATTGTTTAACATTATAAATGCTTGTCACTGATCAATTATATATATATATATATATATATATATATATACATATACTGTATATATATATATTAGGGCTGGGCAATGATTAATCTCATCCAAAATAAAAGTTTGTTTACATAATATATGTGTGTGTAGTGTGTATAATTATTTTGTATATACAAATTCACACACATGCATGTATATATTTAAGAAAAATAATAATAATAATATATAAAATATTAATATTTATATTTAACATAAATTACCGTATATTCATGCAAATATTTCTTAAATATATACATGCATGTGTCTGTATTTATATATGCAAAATAATTATACACACACACACACCGCAATTAATCGTTGCCCAGCCCTAATATATATATATATATATATATATATACAGTATATATGTACTATACATATATGTATATATATATATATATATATATATATATATATATATATATATAAATACTCCAGACCAAAATTCTATATGACTTACATTGTAAAAAAAAAAAAAAAAAAAAAAAAATAAAGGATTAACTGTACAATAACGTGAATGCAATTTAGCACATTTTCTAATATGAGACATTTTCATCAAAAGGGTGTTGTGTTTTGGGGTTTAGTTTGAAAACAGCACAGCATTCTTGTGGCACATTTAGCATGCACTTAAGCTGGATTGCGGGTGGTTCGTGAATAAGACTCAGGGGTTTCTCTGAAATAGCACATTTCTCTGCTAGCACTACTGTTTGGTGAATTCAAGGGGCGATAATCACAGGAGAGGCTCGAAGCCAACATGGAGCGCTTGCCAAAGTCTACCTACGATTTCACCTTCTTGTGTGAGAGAACAGTTGGGCTCACCAGATGGTAAAGCTTCCTATGTCTTCCAACAGAACGCCAGGGTCACTTAGCATGAAATAACTATACGTGACCCCCATCGCTCCTGTGGCCTTTTAAGTAATACTTACAGAATACGCTTCAGCTTGCATGATTGACCCAATATCTCAGAAGACGATATCACAACCTCTCATTCAGTCTCTCTGCTGAGCTAAGCTAATCTATGGCACTACATAGATTTAGTCACTGTGTTCATCCCAGAAAAGGCCCGAGGAAGAAATGTTTTCATATTACAGACAGCACACATGGGTCTGAAAGAAGCGTTCCCCTTTATAGATTTTTTTTTTTTTAAATCAAAACTACTTGCTAAACTAAAACTAAATGCATTGTATTTAATGTGTTCCTGATCTCACTGTGTGACATTGACACTTTAATCTAAAACAAAACCACCTTCTCAATACCTGCAATGCTCACAGGTCAAATATTCCTCAGGTTCATCAAAAATGTAATTGTTAAAGGGGCTATAGGTATGAATTTTCATGTGTTCATCCCTTTTTAATGCCAAGTGAACATGTAATAAGATCTTCCCTAACGTTCTAGGTTCTCTATGGAAGCAAAAAGATACAATGAAAACAATGTTCAGGATAATACCGAGAGAGCCATTCTGTGCTGTAATGTCCATGTGTCATGAACAGAATTGAACTACAGTCTCACATAGTCAGATCTTTATAGTTTTTAGTCTTAAAATGAATATATATATATATATATATATAAATCAAAGTAAAAAATATATCAATGTTAGAGTATACAATGGATGACTAAATTTCAAATATTAAAAATTAATTATTTATAGAATGTTCAGTATATGCATGTATACAAAAAAAAAAAAAAAAAAAAAAAAAACCTTAACCAAGATTAATATTTGCTTCATTTGCATTTCATGTTAGCTATTGCCTTACAAAAATGTTAATAAATTGAGCTGTATCCTTCAATGTAAATGTGTGGGATATCGTCTACCACTTTATCGCCTGGCAGTCAAACATTGCTTAGAAAATCAAAAGCACACGTCAAAATATCATATAATTTGAGGAATCTTTCATGTACATATCAATGGTAAAAGTTCTGCTTACCTTAGCAAACACTTTGGGTAAAGAAATGTGAGATAATGTATATTTGGCAAGGGTCTATCGATTCTATCAAAGCTGATCGTGTTTGAAATGTGTTATGGACCTGTCATATTGATGTATTGTTTACAGGGAAAAGGCAGCTGTATACAGTACTATATGTTAATTGAATTCATACACCACACGCCTCACATTTATCAAAATGACAGAATGGATGTGAAGAGGTTATGATGCCCATGAGCTCGTGAGCAAACGATGAAGCGTTTTCTCATTCCGGATGATTGGTGCAGTTAGATTCAGGCTTTGAATAAGTGTCGTAGTTAGATTGACATGAAGGTGAAGATTATTGACTTATATCATCATATTTAAATTGCCTAAACTCTCAGAAATCATTTTTCTATTTGTCTTTTCGGACAGAGTTACTTTTCCCAACGCCGCATTACAAGATCTGACCCCAATCTCTTTTATCTGACTTATTCTAATTTCTAGAGTTAGTAAAGTAAAGCTATATTTAATTGATGTGGTCTGATGGATGGAAAATTAATATATGATAATATAATGAGATCAGTGAAAATCAGGGATATGGCAGACGGTTTTAATGGATATCACAGGACTTTTAAAACTCGCTGAGGGAATATTGAGTCACATTTTCGTTATCTTAAAGGAAATACACTTTTTAAGCTGATCACTCATCACGATGATGGAATATTACAAACTTGATGGATGGATGGATGGATGGATGGATGGATGGATGAATGGATGGATGAATGAATGGATGGATGGATGGATGGATGGATGGATGGATGGATGGATGGATGAATAGATGGATGAATGGATGGATGGATAGATGGATGGATGGGATGTACGGATGGATGGATGGACAAACGTACAGATGAATGGACAGAAGGATGGATGAATGGATGGATGAATGGATGGACGGATAGATAGATGGATGGATGGATGGATGGATAGATGGAATGTACGGATGGATGGATGGATGAATAGATGGATGGATGGATGGATGGATGGATGGATGGATGGGATGTACGGATGGATGGATGGACAAACGTACAGATGAATGGACAGAAGGATGG